ATTTTAGTTCTAACTCCGCCTCCTTTGGATTACAAAAGACAAGAATATCTTTATCATAATATTCGCCCATTTGTTAGGGATGAATTCAAAAATGTTACTTGTCCACAACCAATTTATACTGGCAACAAAAAATAATTAGAGCAAAATTCTCTCCATTATTTCAATACTTTGTTAATTTTCTTGCTGTTATCAAGTTTACCATCTATATTTTTAGTGACAATATTGCTAGCTTTTCCTGCTTTTAATTTGTAAAGCGTAAATAAAAATAATAACATTAATATAATTATATTATAAAATAATAAAAGCCACTTAGTTAAAAAATGTTTATTTGTAATTATTGTGAATCAAAAACAACACTGCTTTGTCTTCCTACAGAATTTTTAAACACATGAACGCGAACACCAGTTTTGTCGTGGAAAGAAGAAAAGAATAAATTAGTTCGTTCTGCGGTTAAAAAATTGCAAGGACGAGATGTATTTAATGCGGTTGCACCATTTTACGGAAAACAAGAAGTGTGCGTGTGGTGTTCTTTGAAAAGGCTTGAAGAATTGGAATGTTCACTTTGTCTGGTTTTGTTGCAGCGTGCCCCATATGATGAACCAAGAAAGAAAACGAATAACTGATAAACCAAATTACATATATCTGGTGCACCAACTCTATACTCAACAATGTTTCAATTTCGTTGATACAGTGGGTGCACCATAACAATAATAATGGCTGCACACATAAAAAGTTCTAATAATTTTTCACACATAGTAATAATACAGTGTGTCAAAAAAACCCCCCGGAATAAAAGTTTTATTCACTGTCTCAATGAATGGACCAAATTAAATGGTTTATAGCTTAGTTAAAAGGTGAAAACCAACAGAGTTTATTAATAATAGTTAATAAGCAATTCTCTCTCTGTAATTTTAATAATAAGTTCACAGCGATGTCTCATTGAGCCCACAAGATTTTTTATAACAGTATCCAGGGTACTTCTCCACTCCTCCACCATAAATTGCTCCAGTTCATTGATATTTTTGGGCATCCGTTTCTCCACATTATCCTTCACAAATTTTTAATAGGATTTAAGTCAGGACTATTCGATGACCAGTCCATGACTACTGGAGCATTCTCATCAAGAAAGGCTTAGCAAGACGACTCGTATGCTTGGGGTCATTGTTCTGCTGAAACCTCCAGTTGTTTTTTTTTTTAGCTTTTTTATATTATCATATATCGTTGAAAGTGGGATGTTTGTACGTGCATGTAATTACGCACTCCCTCGTTTCACAAATATAATAAGTTTTGCATTGTAATTCTTTCTTGGTAGCAGACATTGTGCAATGTTTTATTCAAAAAGTTACATATTAACGTTAATATGTATGCAATAAAAAAGTAGTTTAACTTTATCCCTAAATCTTGTCTTTGTTTTGAATCAAACGCGTTACAAATTGGTTTCAATTGGGCATGCTAGACGCGTTTTTGTGATGCATACAATTTTCCGTTTTTTTTTACACACTGTAATTCAAATTATTCTGTACTAACGGTAAAGATTATGATCTTGTGTCGCAGAAAATGGGAGGTTACTAAGTCTCATACAAAGTATTGCATTTAGAGAGGGATTGCACTTATTACTTATTATTATGGGGAGGTGTCACTGTGCTAATAGATCTAGTAGGATTTACTAAACAAAGTAAAAGTTTTACCCAAAACTCAATCATAATTAACAGATACAGGTCACGTGTAAGAGTTGCACTGATTCAATAATGAATACCTATTCTGTTTCCGGACTGCAATGTCAATTTAACTGAATAACAATATTACATGACGATTTTCAGGTTATAAACAAGTCAACCGGTGAAGGTGCTCTATTTGATAAGTAAGCGATAAGGATGTGGCAAATCGAACCAAAGGTTAGAAATAGAAACGGGTTGTGACAATTTTAGTCTAATACCAAGACGCACGAGTTTTTGAAAATCCTGTGGCACAATTTTTTGATCGACATTCTCCTTTATCATGATCCGTTCGTTTTCAAAAAGGACTATTCACACGTCGCGACTCTGGCTCTCAAGCACACATTCACAGAAACAGAACCGTTTATTTAAGTCAAACACATTCAACAATTTCAATCGTAACGGTCACGAAATTCGACGTTTATATCAATTCTCCACAGTAAACCAGCAACAACCAACCGTTTCAACTGGACATGAAATACCCCAATCTTTATTTCCTCCTAAAACGACCACGCAATTCAATAAACGACGCCAGGTGGGAAAAGTAAAATCGTCAAAGATACTGCCTCTCTCCTCTCCAGAACCGTCGGAAGACAAACGAAAGGGTGCCGACGAATACACGTTGAATGTTGGTGTTGGTACGGGTGCTAAATTGCTCTTTTATTAATTTTACATTGTGTATTTTGAAACTGACCAGGGATTCAATACGCATTATTATTTCAAGAATGATATTACTAGAACATCCATTACTCACTTCGTTCGCCTCTCTCAATTTTTTGACCTTTACTAGCAATTCGCACAATTCGTTCTGATCTTCCCCGTTTCTTTGAACGCGGCCTATCAGACACGTCAATCTACTCTCAAAACATTCTCCTGTCTGAGCCGTACCATACACGACTATACGTCCGCGGCAAACACTTATACGTTGGAATAGCTAATTTACTACGCTGGAGTCTAACATGGTACTTTGACGATATCGTATTCGAAATAATCAACATGCGCGTAGTAGACGCCAACACGGATGAAAAAGATAATGATGAAGGCAGTTTCCATTATCCATTGGCTGATGAGGCGAGCGCCATCAATAGCAACAGCGTTAAACCACTGTCTCGCCATAATGTGCTTCCAACAACATTAAATTCGCCTTCAAACAAAGAACCGTCGGAAAGAGATACTCGTCTTTTCGTTCGTTGGACATTTGAAGGCACTCCTCGTGCATCTTATTTCTGGTCACTTTTTTCATCAAGTGACTCGCGTATCCCTCGGTCCACTTTTTCTGGAGTATTTATGTATATGTTTGACGCGAGAGGCTATGTTAGCGAGCATTGGGTAAAAAGCATAATACCTGCTCCTAGCAGACGGGCGGTGCTGTATCATGGTTTCGGAGGATTGGGTGGTTGGTTGTGGCGAATAAGAAGCTTGCTGAGGCAGCAAAAGGGGCAATGGGGAGTTGGACTCGGAATGGTTGGAATAAGGAACAACGATGAGAATGCGGAAAAGAGAGGTGGACGTGTGAATTTAGGAGGTGAAGGATGAATGAGTGGGGAAAGAGAAATAGTGGAGTGTAGGAATAGCAGTGACAATCATAGCACTGTTTACTTGTTTATTAACGATGCGATAAAAAGCTCGACATAATCGTATTCTAATAGGAGATTGTACATTAACTGTCATTCGAAAATGTAAACTAAATGCAGAAAGCATTATTATAATTTTACGGGAGCGACCCGTGTTTATGGCGATTAGCTTACATTTTTTATCTCCCTCTGTTGTCATCCGTAGTTTGTTCAACTTTCACCATTCCCTCGCGTTTGTGATTCTTTTCCTCATTTAAGACGCGTAGCATGTACCATCATTGGGGTCTTCTCTCGCTTTTCGTTTGTGATAAATAACCATTCGTACCAGAAATTCTGGTACGCCTCAATGGAAGATTACAAATTCCGTATGGTTACTGTTACATGCCTTTTGCAGACTCTTATTCCTTCTATAAATACAGATTCTAATTCTTTACTTCATTTGAAGCAATTAAATCGCAAAGTCGCGAAATTCCTTTCTTGCATTAGGCAGCTTAATTTTTATTTTCTTTTATTAGTTCTTTATTATTTTAGTTTATTTGGTGTATTTGACAACGGGTTCGATTGACATTTAAATTTAAAAGTGAGTTTGTTAGATACAAATTTATGAATAGTCAAATTTCTATTCGTTTTCTTTTCCGAGCACTATATAGATTGAGCCTATTAATGTACCATTGGTGGTGCTGATGGCGTTGATATACGAGCTACTGCAACTGAGACACCTTCAAACAGAGCCAAAACCAAACCCCCAAGAGCAGCTGATCTTGCCGATGCAGCTAATCCGCCTGGTAAACCGCGTTCACATGTATCAAAGCTATGAGTAAATTCTCGAATGTTCACAAATGCTACATAATAACGATCCTATTACGCGACAATACCTCTAGCTGCCAAAACTCCTCCCGTTAGAAAACCACTTGCAATCACGTTCCAAGGATCTTCTTTCTGTCGTATTCCTTTCAATGCGCAATCGAACGTAGAAAATAATCCACCCCATACAGCAAAATTACCTCCAAGAACTGGAGAACGGGCTTTCACCGCAGATAAAGCACCAATTATACGTTCGCCCTACAAATGTAAAAGAAAGGTCTGACGCTATAATTAAATCATAATGATAATAAAAGTAAAAAAAGAAAATAATCATAAAGATAATCATATAATATTAATATAGACCAAACGGTATGGTCACTCAGGCGCAACGGACCTTCCGACCCGACCTTCCTTTTCTCCCGGGGGAGAGTCGGCTATTGCTTTTCAACTCGCAGCCTTCTCTCCAGCCAGCCCAGCCAACAACCGCTCCGTGTTTCTAAAGATACTTCTGCAGCAATCGGCGGAAATCATACTTACCCTGGGCGAGTTCTTGGATCCTTTAACTGTGTGCCATATTCCTGAACCGATTGCCCCCATTGCGAATGCAGCGCCTGTATCATTCAAGATCACCCAAGGACTAATAGTGGGAAAACTGTATTGTAAGCAGATTTTGCAACAAGCAACAAAATGAGAGTCTATGCTCACCATGGATCTCTCGTATGATCGCTATATCGTGTCATATTTTCTATATAACAGTAAATTCACGCTACGTGTAAAAGAAAAGTCCAAGGAAAGAGATTACAATTTGATATTCGGAGAAAAAAAAAACCTTTTTGTATTTGCGAGAATAGCTATTACTATGGTAAGACGAGAAATTTTGGGTGTCCTAACCAAACCCCGTGATTTTCCATATTTGAATTTTGAATTTCGACCATTCTGCTCATTGTTGGTTATTATGGAATTTTTGCTGCAAAAGTGCTTGTTTACACTTTCGTATGCTTGAAATCTGTCACGGATCTTTGTGCTGTCATTGGTCAATTCCACTCTTATTTAAGCGACTGCAAGCTTTCAAAGTATAAAAATAGCTGGAAAGGTGTCTGCGATCTTAACATGGAGCAGGCAAGGGAAATTGGAGACTATAACCCCGACGACCTAGTCTGGGACTCTACGCATACAACCAATGAACAGCATCGATATTGCTATTGCGGTCGCGACAGAAACCTGACCGAAATTAGTTTGCAATGTTCAGGTATTTGGCATGTCCCATCAATGGTTTCCGCTGGTAAAATGCAAACTTTTCTTACAAATGCTCTCTTACGACAATAGAATGTAAGAATTGGTTCCACCGAGAATGCATAGAAATACCATTGGGCCATATTGTTCCATTTATTACAAACTACCAATTCGTGTGTAGAAACTGTCCGGGAGGCGAGTCATTCAAGGTATCGCGAATTTACTTTCAATTGACAGAGAACGTGTTTTCCAATGACTTACTTTGGGCTGAATAACATTATCTTGTTATAGCGTACCCAAGCAGGTTGGAAAGAAATAAGTGGAACTTCTTTGGCAAATCTAATCTTACAAACACACATGCTCGATCATAACGCCGTGGGAGGGGACGAGAGATATACAACAGCACAATATCTTAAGCTAGGACCATTTCAGTATTACTTCAACAAAAAAGATCACATTTTGCCTTTCGTGGACAAGAACTGGTCGGGTTTATGCACAGAAAGGACGAGGACAAGTACATGGTAAGAATCAGAAACATATTCCACGATATGATGCTTATTGTAGTCTGAATCACTTTTCTGGAACTTTGTTTTGACAAATCAAAGGTGGGCTACATTAGGATCTTGCTTATACATGACGCATGATTTATTCGTGGCGAAACACGAACATAGATCAGCTGGTTCAGATTTTTGTCTTAAAGATACGAATCTGTGGCATATTCGACCTGGGCACTTTATGGTAAGTTGGAGTGCTAGAATTAGCATCAACATGTGATCGGCCTTTGTGTGACAAACACTTGCGTGACATACTTTGTTCGCGCGAGATCGGCTATTCATCTTGACTATTTTTTACTAGTCAAAAAGCACGACGAATGCGCGAGTTCCTAGAACGAGCTCGCAGGGGAGCAGCTTTAAGTCCGAGAACGAGGCCCAACCTACTTCCGCTTCGTCTCCCATGAAACGTCCCTCATCCGTATCTCGGCCTAGCAAACGCGTCGCCCTTTCCAACGCTTCCAATCAATCTTCATTCACAACAACTTCCAATGCTGCATTTGTGCAGTCCGGAGAGCAACGTAATGTGCGTAACGGGTTTAAATATCTTCCATGCACTGCCGATCCATTATTCGCGTATACGACGTATGTGTGCGCAGAAATTCCGCCTTTTGGTGTACGTTTGAGCAAAGAAGATGCTAGTTCCTACGTATGGATAAGTGCTGATAAACTGACGGCAACTACAGATAAAGGATTTCGCATGGCTAGGGCTAATTGCTGCATCAGAGAGGGAAAGTGGTTTTATGAAGTTTTCGTGGATCGGGGAGGTGAAGGGAAAGTAAATGGCGTCGACGGTGCTCATTTGAGAGTTGGATGGGCAAGGAGAGAAGGTAAACCATGTTTACATTGTAAACCAGATGTATTACGTGCTTCGACTATATCACTTGACTGACTCCTTTTATGAATTAGGGGGCAGAAACACACCAGTCGGTTTCGATGGATACAGTTATGGCGTCCGAGACCTCACTGGCGAGAAGGTACATCTATCTCGACCTGTGAAATTCGGCGAACCCTTCAAGACTGGAGATGTAATTGGTCTCTACATTTCCCTCCCTAAGCTTGACAGTGACCACCTAACAAAGATGACCAAACGTCATAGGACTGCAATAGGTATCAAAGGACAAACAGTATTCGAGTACAAAGACTATAAACCAACAAAATCTATGAATGATTGTCTAATCCCACCGATTACCAAAAAAAAGTATGTCCCACCCGGTGCGTCTTCTACTATGTCAGAGGCAAACCCAACGCAGTCATCATCTCCAACGTTTCCGACTCTTCCAAATTCAAAAATTATTGTATATAAGAATGGCGTATGCCAAGGCGTGGCTTTTGAAAGCCTATATTCGTTCTTTCCCCAGCCAGACGAGTTCACCAGTAAAGGAGATCTGATCGATGATGATGGGTCACCAGGGTATTATCCTGCTGTATCGATGTTTCGTGGAGGTACTTGTACAGTCAATTTTGGACCGTATTTCATGTATCCGCCACCAAAAGACCCCGAGGCTACCGTTGAATGTGATAAAGGTAAAAATGAACAAATGGATTATGGAGAGGGATGTGTGCGTACGTGGAGGCCCTTGTCAGAAAGGTATTCGGAACACGTTATAGAAGATGTTGTCTATGATCTAATTGACGAGATAGAGGCTTGGGCTAAAGCTGTTTTGGGAATATCTGATGAAAAAAACAATGGCAGAAGACGAAGCAAAGCGAACGGAAAGAGAAAAGCCAAATCATAGGAAAACAAGGTATCTCGAGTCCGAGTTTGTGTAATGGTATTTCTTATGGACAATAAAATAAATGGCTTATTAGCTGTTTATGTGGACAATTACTTGAAACAATTCATAATTGAAATGAACTTGTTTAATAATTTTCACAAGTGTAAATGTAATTAGAGTCTGAAAGAACACTGTATGAAACAATAAAAAGGTTTATTTTAAGAATAAACCCGATTAAGCGTTAACGGCTATTGTAAAATATCCAAACGACGAGCATGGGAAGTGTGACTATGATAAGGGGGGGGGGGGGATATGCCGGCATATAGAGGGGTAATCTGAAATGTCCGCAAGATGTCAGTGAACCAAAAGACTTTACCACGACATATCTTCATTCAGCAACAATCCCGTTCTCATCAACTTCCACATAATTCTTTGCTAAGCTGTGTAGATTGGACATAAAGGCCGGGAGAGGCTGCTTGGCTATTTCAAGTGGGATCATTTTCTTGATGCCTTCAATGACATTTGTGCCTTCAAAGCGCATTACAGTTGTTATCGGATCAGAGCCCACCTCGTAAGACGATGAGGAATCAAATGGAAGTTTTATCTAAGGAGAAAAAAAAGATGAGCGTTTGTCATCAAATACGCAAAGAGTGCATTATCCATAACGTACTTTGATTTCCACGTGGTCCAGTGCGGGCTGTTCGTCGGATCCAAAGTTCTCTTTTAGCGTACGTTCTCTCTCTTTTTCACGCTTCAAATCCTCAGACACTATGCGACTGTTCCGTTTTCTTCTTGTTTTCCCTGATGCATCTATAAACCGGTTATGTACAGTTATTGATAATATACGTACGATCTCGTTTACTGAATAACCAAAGGACACTACGTTTACTACTTACCTCCTGGTTTCTTTTTCTTTACTGGATGAAGTAGTGGATTATCATCCACTTGATTCAGACGATACAGACTAAATGATCCTTGTGATTCTCGATGAAGTAACAATTGTTCCAACGAATCGACATACTTTCCCTTCAAATCCCACTCTTGTATTTCGTGACATGTAAAAGACTTGATAAGCGCCTATGAAGAAGTGTTGGTCGGATTATGATAATGTGTGAGAGGAAAATTGTAAACAAAATATTTTTGCCACATGGGTTTGATATAATTTTAAATACCTGCATTATGTATGCTTTGAATTCTGATTTGACCTTTGTCGACAACAGATATTCGGAATCAACAAAATACACCAAGTATACAATGTTTCCTGTCGGAGGAATAACATTTGGAGCTACTCCGTCATTGATGCTTAATCTCATCCACCAACTGTTTTCATGAGATTCGATATACAGATGCTTAATAGAAATGGAAGAAAAAAAGCACGTACATGTCATATCAGAAAATTTACAATTCGCTATCTGCCCGACAAACAAAATGATTCGAGAAAGAGGCTGTTAATTCATGCGGAATAATGAGCAACTAGACTTACGTGTTTAAAGAATGGGGACATGTGATTAGACAACTGCCAACGTAGTTTAGTCATGGCCTTGATCTCTCTTCTTGCTGTATTATTTTCCCAACACAGTTTCAACGCTGACCATTGTCTATTCTTTGAACGTTCGCGACAGTCTGTTGTAACAGGTTATTGATATATTACATGAATCCAATATTATATTAACAAACTCTCAAGATATTAGAAACAAAGAGTCCTCATTAACGTAAAGTACGGACGAACACTTTAAGTCCAATTGTGCCAGCTGTAAATATGTCAATCCTCCCTACAAATAAAACGGGAATCAATGTTGGCAAAATCAACTGTAGGAATCGATAGTTCTGTCGTATACTAACCAAATCATCAAATATTTTGTCTATTAATTTCCTCTTACTCCCAGATTTTTTAAACTCTTTGTACGAAGCAACCAATTCTGCAATGTTCTTATTTTCGTCTTGTGGTTCATTTTTGACTGGTTGCGACCATTGTTCTATGAGTTGCAACAGCGAACTTTTGGTGTGTCTGTTAAGCGCAAGACGTAATGACGGATGTGGGGTAAGAAGTATTTTGTCGTTGTTCGATTTCGGCATCCGTTGGGGATTTGTGTCGATGTGTGTCAACCAATTGAAGGGGTTAACTTTATCGTTATGTGTAGGAGGTTTTTTTAACATTCGTTAGCTGTATTTCCTTTTTCAGATTTGTTATGATTGAAAGACGTGTGCTGTGTGTAACTACGAAAAAGTAATGAGTCAGTGATGGCGAAAAAAAGGGCAGTCACATGATAAATACTGCAGTATGATTGGGTGCCATGGCCAGTGTGGCAAGTAAGTCCAAATATATCCAGTGTAAACAAAAAAATTAATCACAACTGTCAAAATAGGCAAACCA